GTGTGTGTGGGTGGGGGACGGGGTGTTAGGGTGGAGGGGTATGTCGAGGGGGTGGTGGCTGTGTGTGTGTATTTGTATGTGTGTTTTTGTATGTGTGTTTATGGGCATGTACGCATGTGTATGTTGGTATGTGTGTGTGTGTGTGTGTATGTTTATGTGTCTGAGCATATTTGTGTATTTTTGTTGTTGTCTTTTTTGGGGGAGGGGGTTCTGTAGCAACACGTCTAATTTTCAGCATTTTATAACCTAATTCTGTTGCAAGTGACGAAAACCTTTAATTTAAAAACCCCCATTAAATCTAATAACTAGAACGTATTCAAACTTTCGTAAATATTGTTTGCAAATAAATGGCTCATGATCTGGAGTCGTGAGCCACACTCGGGCCACAACAAGAAATGAAAAATCTTCACTGCACTAGCAAATAAATGGCATAACTCAGAGTGCCTGATTTCACCACGATGCTTACCAGAACCAACAAAAACTAAAGAGCAGCCTGCCTTGGAGTACTAATGGGAAGAAAGATGGTGGTTGGTCAATAGTTACCAAAGCCTGTTTTAACTTTTCGTCTAAGTAAGAGTTTTACGGCGCTTGCAACGCGAATGTATTATCATAGAAGTGCCGAAGATTACAGGTGTTACAAGAGAGAAACTTATAAAGAAACGGAGGAGAGGTAACATTTTAGTAAGGTTTTACGGCGCTCGCAAGTGCAAAAGGTCTTTTGAGCGCCAAGGGGCGGACGTCAACAGAGGAGTCCAAACGGGGAATCAGACTTACTCTGCTCACCTCTCTAGCCTCGGCAGCACAAAGTCTGCTTCGACTATCAAGGCACCCCGGAAATAACAGTTCACAAGAGAGTGACAAACATACCAAAGAAGTAGAGGACAAAATAACGAAAGTAAGGATGAGGAAAGAAAAAGCAGCAGTTCCCCCTATTTTGTTCCAGCACAGAATGAGCATGACATGAAAAATCAGCCCATTTACAATAATATTTTAAATGTACCCATCTGTCTTGAATAAAAATCGAGATATTTGCAACTGAAAGAGATGGGGGTCGTCTGATTTCAGAGGTAAAATTAGCGAGAAAATGGCCGCCAAAGTCTGGTGTCTTACATAGCTTGAGAGACCTTGGAAACAAATAATTTACTTTTTTTTGGTGCTTTTTATCAACTGTTTTTCATTGAAATCTTCACAGAAATGAGTTTTTCAACACATGTAAAAGGCGTTGAAGCAGCAAAATCTCCGGGAAAATGCCGATTTCTCTGATTTTACCATTTTGACGAGCGCCTGATTTTACCACCCTTTTGAGACATAAATTGCTCAACAGTCATAGCTTTTCAATCTTTTTTAATAGCGTAAGCGCTCACGTTTACCACCAATAAGACACAAAAATGTGTTACGACTCGGTGGAATCGGGCGCTCGTCAATTAGTTGGGCATGTGGAGTTATTTGTATCATATTACAGTTTGTTCATTTGTCATGATTTGTCCATCTTTCCTGGAAAAAACACCCATCTGTCTTGAACTGATGTCGATATGATTGCGATTGAACAAGGTGGGGTCGTCTGGTTACAAATCTAAATTTAGCAAGAAAATATGACGCTTTTTGGTGAAATCAGGCGCTCGTCAAAATACTGAAATCGAAGAAACTGGCCTTTTGCTGCGGGTTTGATCATTTTTATCGAATGTTTTTTTGGTTTTATTTTAGCTCAAAACCTTTTGTGTCAATTTAAGAACATTTCTTTGTCAACTTTCCTGAAAAAAAGTTACTTAAAAAGGTACAAAAAGTGTAAATTTTCAGTTTCTAAGGACTCTGACGTATGGAAGTTTCCGAGCTTTGGCGACCATTTTCTCTCTCATTCGACATCTGAGACCAGGCTACCTCCTCTCCCTCCTTTAATCGCAAATATCTCAACTTTTAATCAAGATAGATGTGTATTTTTTCATAAAGAACACGGGAGATGAATAGGTTTTAAGATTATGTACCCAAAAAAATTGACGAGCGCCTGATTCCACCACGTCATGGCATAAATGGCTGCCAAAGTTGAATGATTTCTATAGCTTGAGAGTCCTTGGAAACTGAAAATTGTACATTTTGTGTGCCTTTCATCAACGTTTTTCAGTAAAATCCACACAAAATGTGTTTTATATGGGCATAAAAGGTGTTGACCCCCCCCCCCTAAAAAAACCACCCAAAAGATTAGGGTTGTTAAACCGTCGAAAAATGCCAACAACTTCAATTTCATTATTTTGACGAGCGTCTGATTTCACCATAATGCCTTACAAATGTTCGAACCGCCTACCTACATGTACACAATGTATTTCCTAGAGGGGTATTAAATAATGCGTCGGGGTTCTCGTGGTCTCGAGGTTGAGGTGTCTGCCTCTCATTTAATAGGTCCCGGGTTCGAATCAGGACAGCGACGGAAATATTTCCTCTCTACAATGTTCTAATTTTAAAACTTTCATGCTCCCTAGTAATGCTTTCGTCTCCACTTTCTGCCCCCCCCCCCAACCTCCCCACCCCCTCACCTCCTTTGCCCCCTCCTCTGGGCGCATGACTCTTTCTGCAGCCTTTCTACTGCTACTCCTTGGCTCTTTCTTACTGCTGTCTTTCAGTCACGCCCCTGATCTTTTGGTGGGAAGATCTACACCTAGCCTTCTCGGATAAGGGCAGAGTATCTCAACGCCTGTGTGCAAGTTTCATTAAAGATCCCTTCGTGGTCTAAAATCGGTAAGAGTAGGGTTCAGCCGGCAACCGGGAAAAAATTCAAAATTTCCTACCAACTGAAAATATTTAATGTGTCCCGCACGCTCATACTTGTATGACCTTATGCAGTTGCAAGTTGTACATCGGTTCGAGCCTCAGCTCCGTCCGACGTTGTGTCCTTGAGAAAAGCACTTTACACGAAGTTCTTACTTGGCTCGGTCCTATCGGAGACGGACGTTAAACTAGGAGGTCTCGCCCCTTGAATAACTTAATAGTGTTGATAGGGCGTTAAACCCATACCATTTCACCATTTTCAAGTTGTACAGTGAGGTATATTATGAAGGTAGTCCTTCGTTGCCGAAGATGACGATGAATCCTGCAGCTCATCTGTGGACGCGCATGTGGATGTGCAATCCTATCCTGGATGTACAAAGTCTTGTGCAGTGGGGGCATACCGCTTCAGTAATAACACGGCATAGCTCAGAAAAAAGCCAATGCCTGTTTGACATTGACAAAGACGACCTATATTAAATGTGAGGCAGCGTGGTGGAATCAGGCTCTCGTCAAAATAATTGCATTTTTCCGTAGGTTTGTGAAGTTTTATCAAATTTTTGTTTTTTGGCTCATCACCTTTCATGCCAATTAAATAAATAATTTCTGTGTGGATTTTTCTGAAAAAAGCTTATTAATGGCACCAAAAATTTAAATTTTCTCGACTTCTATTCAAAATAAATGGATTTTTTTTTCATCCAAATAAAGACAAGTGAACAAGCTTTAGGAATGATACCAATAACTCTATATACTAAAAAATTGACGAGAGCCTGATTCCACCACGCTCCCGGAGAGAATGTTGTCTTGGTAGTTGACAATGACTGTGGTGTTCCAATGGTCAGGTGCACACACGCATACTCGCAACGAGGAAGAATAATGTATTACGTGCTGAAACACCCCAGCTCTGTAAACATTCTCTCTCTCTCTCTCTCTCTCTCTCTCTCTCTCTCTCTCAC